CTTACACATGCGTACACGCACACACACACGTACTCCTATGTGCACACACTCACACCTCCCACACACACCCATGTACGCTCGTGCACACAACCACACACTCCAGCGTGAGCACGAGCACACACATACGCACACAGGCACAACTCACGCCCTCTATGCGTGCAGTACACACACCCACACTTGTTTGCACATTCACACGCGCACGTACACACCCATCCATGCACACATACACTCACATGTACACGCTTTTACACACTCACACTCATATGGGCACACTCACACACTCAGACACACACTGGTATACACACACACACACAAGACCACTCGGGACTGGGCGTGGCGGAGGAGCTTTGTGTGGGGAAAATTCATGGCTCCACCTGTGTCTGGAAGCCCCCGGGGTCTGGGGTCTGGTGCATTCCCTGTGTGGGGGGCAGGGCGGGGTGGCTCTGCCTCTCATCGGGCTGTGTGTCAGTCTCCCCCAGGTGCCGCCCACGCCTGTCCCTCAGCCCGGCAGCCTGGGAGGCTGGTGTCAGCCGCGATGCAGATGAGTCAGGGTTCAGCGCAGGGTCTGCCCGGGAGGCACATTCCTGCACCCCGCTCCATGGCTCCGTGGGCCGTCGGCTTCTCCTCGCGGGAGGGGGCCGTGACTTTAGGCCTCTGTAGTCGTTGTGTGTCTGCCTGGATCTGGCTCCTGGGTGGCAGCCCTGCTGTGCTTGACACTGATGAAACAGCCGTGCTTGATCTGACAGGCACCTGCCCTCCATACCTGAGCCTGGTCACTCCCACACTCCAGGCCTGGCCAGCTGTGTGGCTGGCCCCAGGGCACTGAGCGATGGGTGCTGGCTTCCTGTCTCTGAAGAGCGGTCCCTTCTCCTGATAAAAAGAAGTATTTCGGGACTGGAGCCATAGCACAGTGGGTAGGGCGTTTGCCTTGCATGCTGCCGACCTGGGTTCAAGTCCCAGCATCCCATATGGTCCCCTGAGCACTACCAGGGGTAATTCCTGAGCGCAGAGCCAGGAGTAACCCTTGTGCATTGCTGGGTATGACCCAAAAAGCAAAAGCAAAAAAAAAAAAGATGTCTTTCCCTTCACACGATAAGCCGTCTAGAACCTTCTGGGGCTTTCTGGGGCACAGCGTCTCCAGGATCAGTGCAGTTGCAGCTGTGATTCCCTGGGCACCGGAGGATGGAGAGTCGATGTGGGATATTCAAAGGCTGTGGGTTTAACTGGGGGGGGGGGGGGGGCAGGCTGGTGGCCAGGGAGAGAGCTCGGAGGGCTGGGGCACACGTGCGTGTGAGGCCCCCAGTCAGATCCCCACATAGGGGGGCCCGGGACATCTGGCCTGAACTCAGAATCTCAGGTCAGCATCTCTGGGGGCTGCAGGAGGGGCATGCCCCTGTGTGGGTGCAGAGAGGAGGGTGGGCGGGGGGCTCCAGGGGGGAGGGCCCACTCTCTGCGCTGCTTCTTTCTGCAACACTTGAGCTGGGGCGGATGATCCTGGCTGTGCTGGGCTGCGCATCCCGGGTGCGAATGCTGCTGCGTCTCCCACTTTGGAGGGGTGGGGGCACTGCCTGGCCAGCCCCCGGCCCCCCCCTCCGTGAACTCTCCACCCACCCGTGCTTGTGGGAGGGGCTGTGAACTTGTGCCTGTGTATGCTCAAGCATGTACACACACACACACACACACACACACACACACACACACACACACACAGGCCGCACGGCTGCCCGAGGTAGCCCCCGGGCTCCCCCAAAAGGGGGGTGTCACTGAGGAGACCCCCAAGCTTTCAGGGGAGCAGGGGACAGGGAAGGAAGTTGGGGGGAAATGTAGCCTGGGAAACCCAGCCTCTCGGAACCCCACCCTCCGGCCCGCACGGCGCGTGGCCAGAGACATGTAGTGGGGGGTCTCTGTGGGCGCGAGGCCCAGGGAGTGGGCACCCCGAGGACTTCCCTTGTTGCTGCCCAGAGTGGGGGTTAAGGGCGCGGAACATCGGGGTACTGAGGGGCGCGGCCTGGCACAATCCAGGGGCTCTGCCCAGGCGAGTGGCAGGCCACGGGGGTCCCGGAGCAACTGTCAGAGGAGAGCAGGGCCGTGGCTGCTTCTCCTGGGGTGGGGTGGGGGGGGCTGCCTTCCTCTGAGCCTCTGCAACACACTCAGGCCCACCGCAGGCGCGAGAAGGAAACCGAGGCCCAGAGAAGCGGGGTTGCCTGTGGGTGGGCTCATGGCCACTGGGCTGGCCCAAGCTTCCATTGGTCTGTGCCAGCGACGTGAGCTGCCGGCCTGGGGGGTAACGCGGAGGTGCACCCCCTGAGCCGGGAAGCCCACCTGCAGGAGGGGCTGTGGGAGCCCCCACCTCGCCCACCTCTCCTCTGCCCTCTGGGGCCTATTGACTGGTGAGGGGGCAGGGGTGGGGCGCTGGGATTTTGGTGGATTTCAGCCCTTCTCGTCCTGCCCCACACGGCCCCATTGTGGGCTGGTCTCTGGAGTGGCCCCAGGGCCACGGCCATGACGGAGAGTGCCAGGGGCTGTGTGGTGGCTGAAGTGCCGGGTTTGCCCCTAGCCCCCTGAGTTGTGTCAGAGTCAGACCCCCGCGCCCCGCACACTGCTTCTTTCCGCAACACTTGAGCTGGGGCGGATGATCCTGGCTGTGCTGGGCTGCGCATCCCGGGTGCGAATGCTGCTGCGTCTCCCACTTTGGAGGGGTGGGGGCACTGCCTGGCCAGCCCCCCGGCTCCCCTCTAAACTGGCGTCCACGATGAGGGGGAAGGTTCAGAGAGGCACATCACTCCCCCAAGGTCACACAGCAGGCTCCCAGGTGGGGGAGCTGCAGCCCAGAAGTTTCAGGACCCCCCGCCCCACCTGTGTGTCTGACATGGCCTGGACTCCAGTGGGAGCGCACACCCCCGCCCCACTGGAAGACGGATGAGCCATGGGCAGGTCTGGTCCCCCCACACCTCAGAATCCTGTGTCTGGGACCCCAAGCCTGGGTCCGAGTTCAGGAGCTGTCTCCCCTCTGTTCTGGCCGCAGTGACAGCCTCCCATAGCAGCATGCAGGAGGGGGGCATGGGCCGAGCCCGCTGCTGCCCCCAGGGCTCCCCCCTCCCCCCTCCTCCAGCCCCAGCCCCGCCCTGATCCTTGCCTCCTGCCCCCACCCCAGGGGAGGTCAGGCCCTCTGGAGGGATTCCAGAGCCAGCTGGGCCCTGTGACAGGATGGTGGGATCTGTGCTGTGTCAGGCGCTCTGGGGCCGGCACCAGCACCCCCTGCCCTGGGCTCTGGGTGACGGGGGCAGGGAGCCAGCTCGGGGCAGACCCCACACTCTCCCCTGCCCCCACACTGGACACGGCCCCTCCCCCCCACACAGACCCCACCACCTCCCCCTATACCCACACTTGGCACATCCCCCGCAGACCCCAGCCCTGTCCCCCGTATGTCCAGTCTGGACACATGCCCCCCAGACACTGTCCCTCTGCCCCCACACGTCCCCTCCCAACTACAGACCCTGTCCCCCTATGCCCACATTAAACACACACCCCCAGACCCCAACCCTGTCCCCCTGCTTCCACACTGGGGCACGTCCCCCCTAACCCCCAGCCCTGTCCCCCGCAGAGCCCGTCTTCCCTGGCCCTGCTGGGACACGCCCCCTTGCTGCCTGGGGCCTGTCTGTCCTCTGAAAACAGAAACAGCCAGCACGGTGGGCAGGGCACGTGGCCAGGGCAGGGGCCCACAGCAGCTGGTGTGCAGGGCGAGGGCCTGTCCACTGCTGTCCTCACTGTAGTGCATGACCTCCCTGGCCTCGCCTGTCCCGTGGCTATGGAACAGGCCGTGAGAGGATGACCCTAGTGGGCCCGCAGAGGGACCAGTGTGCAGGGGCCAGTCTTTTGGCTCTGAAGCGGTGAAGGGTTCTGAGCCTGGCTGCAGAGCTGGCAGCAGGTGCTGGTGCACTGGGCACGCCGGGGGGCCCAGCTCCCCAGGACAGTCTCCCGGACGCGCCCTCCTCCCCCCCCCCCCCCCCCCCCCCCCCCGCTGATTCGGCGGGGCGCCTGCGCCATCTAGTGGCGGCAAGACATGCAGCACCCACCTGGGCAGGGCACCTCACCCCACCCCCCAGCTGCCTCCTTTTGTGGGACCCACCCTGTCCTCCCGTCCCCCCCCAGAACCCCCATCCCCGGAGCCCTGTCCTGTCACAAGTGCCTGGGGCCACTCTGGGGATCTGGGTGACAGTCAGAGGAGGCCTCTCACTGGGCCAGATCTCAGTCGACGGCTTGCCAAGCATGTTGCCTCACCAAGAAGCAGGAGCTCCCCCTTCCGGAAGGTTCCGCAGCCCCCCAGGCTCCGTGGGGGTTCTGAGAGGGGCCCTGCTAGCACTTTGTCTTTCTCCCGGGCAGCTTGAGGGGAAACCGAGACCCAGGGTCCGGCCTCAGATTGTCAGGAGTGGACGATGCGTGGGGGGGGGGGGGTCTCAGGCTGCAGGAACCGCGGGAACCGGCTGCCTCGGGCCAGGGTTGACCCAGGGACTGCAGGAGTGGACACTCCACCCCTCTCCCACCCCGGGGGGTCCACAGGAAACAAAAAGCACGTAAGAAACGGTTCCTTTTATTGAGTGGAACGTGGTAGAAAAGTACATGAAGTGCAGGTGTTGTGAGGGGCGCGGGCATGCAGGTGGCTGGCTCGGGAGAGGAGACGGGCACAAGCAGGGCCCCGCCAGCCTTCCCCTTCGGCCGAGACCCCCTCCGTTGGGGTCTGTATGAGGGTGGGAGGCTGGCTCCCCCCCATGGTGATGGCAGAGTCCAGCTGTGGGGTGCAGTGCAGGGTGCCCCCCGGCCCGAGGCCCAGGGCCAGGTCCCAGGCGAGCGGTCCCTGGTTCAGGCCCACCGAGGTCGGCCGGGCGGGTTGGCAGCAGATGGAGCGTGATGGTGAGAGCGGGCGGGCGGAGGGGCATGCTTCCAGACCCGGCAGGCTCTGAGTCGGCGGGCGTGGCCTCAGGAGGAGGCAGAGGGGGACCCCGCAGGGGGTCCAGGGGGCTCTGAGAGCCGTGGGGGGGGCCGCCGTCACATGACGTTCTGGAACAGCTGTAGGGACCTCATGATGTTGTCGTCCTGCAGGGCAGAGGGGAGAGAGAGGAGGGTCAGAGGCCGCCCTGGGGGTCGCCACACAGAAAGGAGGGGTGGTGAGGGGAGGAGGCAGTCCTGCAGCCCAGACAGGGGACGGAGTGAGTTGGAGGCTGGACGATGGCGGGGCCAGGAGGGTCAGCGGCTGACCCTTGGGCCTGGGCTACAGGAATGAACATGCCAGGGAGGGGGATACCCTGAGGGGCAGCTGGCGAGAGTGTAAGACCAGTGACTGGGCCCTGGACACCCCCATGAGGTAGAGGTCAGCCAGTTTGTCCAAGTGCGGGCTCTGAAAGGAGTGGACGCCTGCCGTGCTGTGAACTGTCCCTTACCTTTGATTTTGCTGTGTCCGATACGTTCAAGGAATCGTTTGATTTCTTCTCTGACTTTCTCTCTCTTTGTTTTTTTTTTTTTGGATTTAATTTTTATTGTATCAATTAATAGATCCTGCTTAAAAACTCAGGCTTGCTTAGATGTATAACGATACACAGGTGAGCACATACATACTTCTGATTGCATTAATGTCCTCCTCCTCCCCCACTTGATTAGTAAAATAATACAGTCTATGAAACACTGCCTCAGAAGAGACATCACAGAGAATGTAGACAAAACAAAGAAGCCAAAGGTCACACACTCTGAGAGAGAGAGAGAGAGAGAGAGAGAGAGAGAGAGAGAGAAAGAGAGAGAGAGAGAGCATGTAGAAAATTATAGCTTTGAATCCATGTCAAGGAAGAGTGACAGGAACTGGGATGATTCAAGGGACTAACTTGTTTGGTTTTGGGGAGGAAAAATCTGACTTCCTCTTTTTTTTTTCTTTTTTGCTTTTTGGGTCACACCCGGCGATGCTCAGGGGTTACTCCTGGCTCATGCACTCAGGAATTACTCCTGGCGGTGCTCGGGGGACCATATGGGATGCTGGGAATCGAACTAGGGTCGGCCATGTTGGCTGTGTGCAAGGCAAACGCCCTACCCGCTGTGCTATCGTTCCAGCCCCTGTGACTTCCTCTTTGACCCACAAGTTGTTCAGTCGTGAGTTGTTTAATTTCCAAGTGTTTGAATTCTGCATCTCCCACTTGCCCCACGCCTGTTTCTGTTTGTGACGAACTTCCATTTTCAGCAGATCTTGGCCAGAGAGAACAGTTGATATTGGTTCTATCCTCTTGATTTGACGGATGCATGGGTCTGGCTTGGAGAATGTCCCAGGTGCACTGGAGGAGAATGTGTATTCGGTTTTTCCACTAAGTCCATCTCTTCCATCCCTTCCTTTAAAACCATGTTGATTTGGTCTGGTTAGTAGGTCGAGGGCTCATGTCTCTTGATTGCTTAGAAACGCCCGCCCCTGTCCCTTATAACTTTTTTTTAAAAAAACTTTGACATCTGTGTTATCGGATTTATGAATGGCCACACCAGCCTTTTGAAGGGAGTTATTTCCTTGAAATCCTGTTTTCCACCATTTCACTTTGAGCCTGTGTTTGCTCTGACTGTTCTGATGTGTCTCTTGCAGGCTGCACAAGGTTCTATCATTTTTGCTTTTACCATTTTTGGATGTGCAGGACTTTTATTTCCTTCATTAAGTTTTTCTCAAGGTGCTTAATTCTCTTAGGTGCAGTTGTAAATGGGTTTGCTTTTTATTTTTTTTTTAATAATGCAGGAGTACTGCTATTTATTCAGCCATTGATTAAGCTGATTGATTGAATTGGGCATGAACTCTGCATTTAATTTAATTTTATTATTGTTATCCCCCCCTTTTTTTTTATTCACCATGAGATAGTTACAATGCTTCCATGTTTGAGCTTTGGTCATATAATCATCAAACACCCATCCCTTCACCAGTGCACGTTTTCCACCACCGATATCCCCAGTATTCTCGCCACCTCACCCCAGGCCAACCCCTCCCCTGCCTGCATGGCAGACAATTTCCCCCACACTCTCTCTCTACTTTGGTTACATTCGATATTTCGACACCACCACCACAGTCCCACCACCTCTCAAACCTGCCGAAAAGGCAATGCTAGAAAATTTGTTTGTATCGCTTGTTATGGATAGAATATAATGTCCAGGAAATTCTGCGTCATTCTCTTCCGGGAGCTTTAGTTTATAGTCTCTGGGTCTTGGCCATTGATGAAATTACATGGCGCCAGGGACAGTTTGTGGGTGTGACTGCTAAGCTTCTGGAAAATTGGGGACCTGGGGGGAGGAGGCCCAGTCCCGATCTGAGCGGGCTTGGAGATCTCAGTCACAGGTTCCCACATAGCTGGGTTTTCCTGCTGGTCCACTCTTGGGTGAGGTTCATCAAGTCTTGATTGAGGCTCGTCCCCTCTTGGGTAAGGCTCATCCGAGTGTGTGGAGAGTGGCCTTGGGCATGGAAGCAGTTGGGTTCTGGAGGTTTTGGGCGGCAGGGATTCTGCTTGGGGTGGGAAGGGAAACTCAACCCGCTCCCCTCCGAGGTGCCCTGGTGAAGACAGCCTGGCTCGGGGTCAGGACATTCTGTGGTGCTCTCTTCTGGGAGCTTTAGTTTATAGTCTCTGGGTATTTGCCATTGATGAGGTTACATGGTGCCAAGGGCAGTTTGTGGGTGTGACTGCCAAGCAACTGGAAAACTGAGGGTCTGGGTGGAGGAGGCCCAGTTTCAATCCAAACGGGCCTGGAGCTCTCAATCATGGGTTCCCACCTACATCCATGTTACAGACCCTAACTGTGTCTTTTGATCTCTTTCGAGATTTATGGGTCTCTGAAATAAGGCCAATAAATGAGCTTATATAGCTGATAGCACAGTGGGTAGGGCGTTTGCCTTACACGTGGCCAACATGGCCGACCCGAGTTCGATTCCTCCGCCCCTCTCGGAGAGCCCAGCAAGCTACCGAGAGTATTCGATATGCCAGACACAGTAACAACAAAGTCTCCAATGGAGACGTTACTGGGCCCACTCGAGCAAATCGACAATCAACGGGAGGGCCTTTACCTTTACCTTTACCTTATATAGCTGAACCAGAGGTGGTTTGTGGGTGTGTCTCCCACATACCTAACTTTTGGCTGTTTAATTTTTTGGCAAACTTGGCTCCAAGTTGTTGGGTTCTGATCAAAGGCACGGCAGCAATTTTGGGGTATCTGGAAGTCTGAAGGCACCATCAGGCTACTGGTGCACTCACCCTGCAGGTACAGGTTGACCTGCTGGCGGCACCATATCCGTTTTTTCTTTCTTTCCTACTTCATTGCTTGCATATAGAAATGCAGCAAATTTGTGGTTATACAGTCCACCTTTTCTACATCGGTTGTTTCTAGTTGATTCTTAGTGGATTATTGGGGGTCATCATAGCATATGCCAACAGTGATACTTCTATTTCTTTTTCACTTTGGATCCCTGATTTTTGTGCCTAGTTCAGACTCTCAAAACTTTTTTGTTGTTGTTGGTTTTGGGGACACACCTGACTGTATTCAGGGGTTACTCCTGGCTCTGCATTCAGGAAGAGCTCCTGGCAGTACTCAGGGTACCATATAAGATGCCCGGGATTGACCCCCAATTGGCCGCCTACAAGGCAACTGCCCTTCCCCCTGCACTACCACTCCAGCCCCTGGTCTTCAGTGCTCGACTGAACAACAGCAGTAAGTGGGTGTCCTTGTGTTCGAGGGAGCCTTGCTAGTTTCCGCTGTTTAGTACGATGTGAGCTGTGGATTTGTCACCTACGCTTTTACTAATTGAGGTGTAAGTAATCAGGTGTTGAATCCATCAAGCTTTCTCTGTTTATTGATAGGAAGTTTCTTCTGTTGATGTGATATATTGCATCGATTCATTTGCTTACACAGAGCAAATAACATGTATCACTTGCCCTCCCGTTGTTCACTGAGTTGCTTGAGCGGGCACCAGTAATGTCTCCATTCATCCCAGCCCTGAGATTTCCGCAGCTTATCGGGGGCTCTTTCAGGGTCAGGGGAATGAGACCTGTTATTGTTACTGTTTTTGGCATATCAAATATACGTCACGGAGAGCTTGCCAGGCTCTGCCGTGTGGGCAGGATACCCTCGGCAGGTTGCCGGGCTCCCCGAGACGGACGGAGGCAGGAGATTCTGCGTCACTCTCTTCCTGGAGCTTTATTTTATAGTCTCTGGATCTTGGCCGTTGATGAGATTACATGGCACCTGGGGCAGTTTGTGGGTGTGAGTACCAAGCAATTAGAAAACGGGGGACCTGGGTGGAGGAGGCCCAGTTCCGATCTGAGCAGGCTTGAGCATCTCAGCCACAGGCCCCGCTCTTCTGTTGGTTCCTTCATGTGTGAGGCTTATCTGAGCGTGTGGAGAGTGGCCTTGGGCATGGCTGTGGCTGGGTTCTGGAGGTTTTCGGCTGCCGGGGCTCTGCTCAGGGCGGGGAGGGAAACTCAATCCACCCCCCTCCAAGGGGCCCTGGTGAAGGCAGTCTGGCGCGGGGGCAGGAGATTCAACATATGTATATGTATGTGCATTTTGGAGGGTCTCCCAGGCATTGCCTGGAGGCCTGGGGACCCTTCTTGGGTGCTGTCAGGGGGCCATGCAGTGCTGAGGATTGAAGCAGGGTGAGCTATGAGCCAGGACTGTGCCTCTGGCCTTTGGTTTGCAAACATGGGAATGAACCCCACTTGCCCTTGGGGAATGCATTATTCCATGTGCATTTCCACCCTCCTGTCGAGGCCCTGAGCTGTCTCCGCTGGGGACCGGGCTATCCGTTCACACCACTGACATCCGCTGCTGGATTTTGTGTTTTTGGGCCACCACACCGGGTGGTGCTCAGGGCTTACTCCTGGTTCTATGCTAATGGAATACCCCTGGCGGGGCTCCTGGGACCATATGGGGGGAGGGGAGGGGACCTGCATTGGCCGTCTGCCAGCCTGGCGCCTCCCCTCACTGTACACTGTCTAGCCACAGCCGTCCACCTGCTGGCCACACGATAATGCTGGCCATGGAGTGTGTGGAGGGTCCCCTCCTCGTCTTGCTGGTGCCAGGACTAAGCCCAACCTCCAGCAGACGAGACCCCCGGCCGCAGCCCTGGCCCTTGTCTCTTGGGAAGGACGGGGGTGGGGGTGGGGGACATTCTCCAAAGGGGGGCCAGCTCTGACCCCATCAGGTTCTGGGCTTTTGCCTGTGGGGGAGGTTTTGTTTATCGTGGCTGGTTTTCGGCTCCTGGCTCCGACCCGCTTTGCTGCCGTCCCTGCGGGCCCCCAGCACGCCTGGCCCTCTGGGGTGTCAGCCCCACCGCGACCCCCCTTCCGCTTCCTTAGAGAACCCCCCGAGGGCTCTGTTCATGTTGGTCTCATGGCTCCTTTGCTGCTTCTATCTCCTCCCACTGACCCGAGGCTCCGTGGGTTGCCTTTTCACACCCCCCCAGGGTTCAGATGCCACGTCTGGGTGGTTCTTGTTCTTGTTCTTTCCGTCAGCCTGTGACGCTGCCCATGGGCCTTGGTCACCCCCCCCCCCAGGTGCCCAGCTGCTGGGCAGTTACCCGCCCTGCCTGCGGGTGCCCCAGAAGCTCCCTGACGCCCCAGTGTCTGTCCTTCCTGGTGTTGAGTGTGTGCGTGGCCTCTGTGAGGACACGGGGAGAAGGGACCTTGGCCGCGGAGGTAGCTCTTTGGAGTCCAGGGTCCAGCAGGGGCTCCCGCCCTCTGTGCTGCCCCCAGGCTCTCAGTCATTCATTGCAGGTGCTCTGAGCCCCTGGGGGCAGGCCTGCAGCAGCCACGTGGGGGGAGTCCCCCCCCGTGGCCCCCGAGCCCTTCAGGAGAGACCCCTGGGCACCACCTGTGTGGCCCCATCCCCCCCAGTAAGGAATCCCTGTTTCACCGAGACCTTCTGGAGCTGCTTTGCGGCTCTGCTGCCAGGGAGAATTCCACAATCCCCATCCCCAGTGACTGAGGGTCAGCCCAGCCTCCCTGTCTATCTCCCTCAGACCCCCAAAATAGAGATCCTGCACCCCGAGTTGCCTGCAGGACAACTTACCTCCTGGCAGGACTCGAGAAACTCATCCAGCGTCACGATGCCGTCTTTGTTTTTGTCCATTTTCTGAAAGAGAAACCAGGAGACGCTCTGAACAGTCTGGTGACGTGTGTCTGAAAAACCGCTGTCCTCTGAGCAGCTTTTCTCGGGGGTCCCCGGCAGGGATGTGGGGACCAGCCCAGGCGAGCCCAGGGGGGCCAGGCCCGCACCCTGCTGTGTCGGGGATCAGAGGCACAGGGGCTGGGAGGTAGCCGGTCAGGCGTATGCTGGCCCTGAGCTATGCCCCGGACTCTCCGCCGCCCGTGAACACCTGTGGCCTCGTCCTGGCAGAACCTGAGTCAGAACCAGTGTCTGGGCCCCAAGTCCCAGCCCCGTCCTGCTGGACCCTGACCACTGGGCAGTACGGTACCCACAGTGAGGCACCGGAAACTCCCAAGGGACACACCCATCTCGGGTACACTGTGGACACCCGTATCCTGCCCCATGGGGACACTTTACTCTCCCGCCCTGTGGGGACACCCCCCTCCCCCGCACCGTGCAGCTGCGAGCTGTCCCGCTATCTCAGGTGCCTTGTGACCTGGCTGGGACAGCCTGGAGGAGCCCCTGCTTTTCCGCCTGCCTCTGAGTGTCCGGCCTAGAAGGAGCTCCCCGTGCCAGGCTGGCAGTGTGCCCAGATGACTGTCCCCGACCACGAGTCAGAGCGACCCCACTTCCCAGCCACGTGCCTCAGGACACCTCTGTGCCACCCCCTGGGTCTGTCCCCAGTGTCCCCTGCCGCCCACTGACTGTCTCATCCAGACCTTGTCTGCCGAACAAGCCCCCCCCCCCGCCCCCGTGGCCTGGCTGGGCTGTACCTGGAAGAAGACGTCCACGTGCTGCCGGGGCGTGTCCTCCCTGAGCACAGGGTACGTGTACTTGCCCATCATGTCGTAGATGGCCTTGACGATGTCCATCATCTCCTGCGCGGGGACAGCACGCCTCTGAGTGGCCACCACCCACCGGGGCTCCGCCAGGACCCCCCCCAACCCCAGCCACTGCACCAGAGGGGCAGCTCAGGGGCCTTTCTGCTTGCGACCCCACTGTGTGACCCCCCCAACCCCACCCACCCCACAGTTCCCTCTGGACCCCTGCTTAGGGGGTGCCTACAGGGGGGGTCCCCGGGCCAGCCTCCCGCTGTCCCTCTCTCCGCACACACCCCGGGGCCTGGGGGGCTTGCCTGTTCCCGCCCCGTCGCCTGGGGGCCAGTTAAGAGTTTTAGACGCACCCGAGATCCAGACTCAGTGGCCACGCCTGACCCTGAGCCCCTGGTACTCACCAGTCTGTTCCAGGATCTGTCCCTGAGGTCCTTCCCCTCGGAGACCAGCGAGGACAGTGCCCGGGACTCTACTTCCTCGGGCTGGGGCCTTCCCCGCCCTCTCCCCCCATGCTCTCTCCTCTCCTCCCCCCTTCTTCTCTCTCTCCTCTCTCCTCTCCTCTGCCCTCCCCACTCCATCCTCTCTCCCCGACCCTCTCTGTCCCTCTCCCGCCTTTCTCCTTTCTCTTCTCCTCCCCTCCCCCCTGCCTACTCTCCTCCTCTCCCCAGCCCTTCCCTGTCCTCTCCATTCCTTTCCTAAGAGCAGGGACTTAAAATCCACTTGAGGCCAGGACGCAGCTGCGGGCGAGAAGGCCGGCCTCACTGTCTGAGGTTCTAGGTTCCATCTCTTGTGCCCCCTGCCCACGGCACTGCCCCCCGAGAAGACCAGCAGGGGAGTGTAGTAAAGGGCAGGCCCCTCCCCTGCCCAACAGGCCCATGCTGGCGGCTCTCCGGGTCCACTGTGTGTGACCGCCAGAGTCCGACGCCTCATGGAGTCAGTTTGGATTTGCAGGAGGTGCCATGTCGGGGCGCTCACAGCCCTGAGCTGGTGTCCCGTTGCCCTGCGGGGCCATGAGTGGCCCCGGCCCCTTCCTGCTCTTGTCCCGGCCTCCTGCTCGGGCTCCTGTCTGTGCCGTGAGGTCTGTCCTAGGGTCTGAGCTCGGGGCTTCTTGGCCCATGGGATGGTCAGTGCGTGAGGGCCTACTGGCACAGGGACGTGTGGGTCACTGGGGTACTGGGGTGGGGCGTGATGCCGGCATGTGTCAGCCTGTCCCAGCCCGGTCCCAGGGCCTGATGGGAAACGGCTGCGTCAGGGCTGGGGTCACAGAGCACTGTGCTGGGAGTAAGTGAAAGGAAACTCGGAAACAGACTGCTCCGGTACACCCTGACACTTGCACCCCCCCAGGGCTGACCCGCCCACCCCTGCCTGCCGACCTCCTTGTTTATGTAGCCGTCCTTGTTGATGTCGTACAGGTTGAATGTCCACCTGAGCTTCTCATGCACGGAGCCACGCAGGAGAGTGGACAGGGCCGTCACGAAGTCCTGCCAGGGACAGACAAAGTCGGGGAAGGCTCCGCCCTGTCTCCCCCCCCACTCTCCTGCTGGCACCCCTGGGTCAGGTCACTGCCCCCTGGCCCCCCGCTGTCCGGCCCTGAGGAAACAAGGACCCTCCCCCACCATCCCATGAGGGCTGTCGGGGGGATGCTGGGAAGTGAGTCCTGCCGACCACTGAGCATGGAGCCCGCCGGCCACGGGGTGACCAGGGGGCCTGTGAGCTCTGCAACAGTCCCTGAGCTTGAGGTGGGCTGGCTGCTTCCAGGGGCACTGCTGGGGGGCTCCTGCTCATCCTGCCCCGCCCTGCCCCGCCCCGCTGGCATACCTCAAACTTGACGGAGCCCGTCTGGGTGGTGTCGAAGGCATGGAAGAGATAGTGGGCGTACGTGCTGGCGTCTGCGAGGCAAAGAGGGAGGTGGGTCCCCGGGTGCCTCACCCACGGGCTAGAGGGAGGGCTGGCCCGTGGGGGCACCAGGCTGCCTGGCCCCGGGGTCCCGGACTCTGCCCGGGGGAGTCACATCCAAGGCCACCCCCGAGCCTGGCCGGCTCTCAGCCTGTAACCCTCAGGTGTGACCACGGGCACCTCACACCGCATCTGCCCTGGACATGGGGGGCAGTGAGGCCTCTTGGGGCAGGGCAGGCAGCGCTGGGTGCCAGGTCAGGTGCCTCCCTGCCCAGGACAGCGCGGGCGCCCGGCTCACCTCCGTGAGGGAAGAACTGCGCGTAGATCTGCTTGAAGGTCTCCTCATTCACCGCCCCACTGGGGCACTCCTGTGGGAAGGGGCTGTCAGTGGGGGCCACGGGGGCTCCCAAAGATTCCCAGTCCTGGAGGGCACCTCCCGAGAACGGGCCCTGCAAGGCTGGACGCATCTAGGGGGGAGGGGGTCCCGGCTCAGCCCGTCCAGGAGGGGAACCTCCAACCCCTCCACGTGGCTGGCGCTGGCCACACCTCTAGGGATTGATACTTTTTGGAAACAGTTGCTTCCCATTCAGAGCTGTGGGGGGGGGGGGGGAGAGCAGCCTGGATGGAAGGGGTGTGGGGGTCTCGTGGGGGGGGCAGGGGGCGGACTCTCAGGGGCCAGCGGGGACTCACATTCTTGAAGCCGCGGTAGAGGACCTGCAGCTCCCGCTTGGTGAAGTTGGTCTGCGCCTCCAGCTGCTCCAGACCCTCGGGCCGGTGGCAGACCACCGCCATCTCCAGTTCGTCCTCCGTCTTATCTGCGGGCGGAGACGGGGCCCCTCGACAGCGGCTCTCTGGGTTTCGGGGTCCCCCAGCCCCCGGGGACAGCCCCAGATTTCCCGAGCGGAGGGACAAGCTCCCCCCCCCCCCCAACGGCCCCTGGGGAGACGTGGCACAGCTGAACCGTGAGCCGGATGCATCATTGAGGACACATCACGCCAGACCACGCAGGGCACAGTTCCCCTGGGGGCCACTCCCGCTGGGGTGTCGTGGGGGGTCATTCAAGCCCTGGGCATTGACCCCCCCTTGACATTGCCATTTTACACAGATTAGTCCAGCCGTAAGGCCCCACCCAGATCCACTCAGTGGGACGCGGGGGTTTCCAAGAGCCGCTTCTGGGGGCCCAACAGAGTGTTTGCCGGGACTCGACCTGGGGACACACGATGGGCAGCAGGGCATTGGCCAACCTAAAGACTGCATGACCGGAAATGGCGCCCAGGGGAGGGGCATCCAGGCAGGCTGCCTGGCAGTGGTGGCCCGTGGGACCGTGTGTGTAGGCAGAGGTGGGGCTCTGTGTTGTGAGGGGGAGCGAGCGGGCTCCTGGCTGGTGTGGCTCTGGTCAGGGCCCTCTCTGTCCTCAGGTCCCCCCACCATGGTCACTCTGCCTTCAGAGACTTGGAACCGTTAGGGTCTGTTTGGTGGGTGCGGGGGGCTGTGCTCTGCCTCCCCTAAGGTCATGGGCATCGGGGAAGGACCCCAGAGAGGTTGGAGCACTTGGCGACAAGCCCCAGAGGTCACTGCCTCAGTGCAGGGTGGCGGGGCCCCTGTTCCCTCCATGTGGGGTCAGGAGAAAAGAGGTGTCGTGTCTCCCCCAACACCCACCCCAGATGGGATGCTGGGAATCGAATCCGGGTCAGCCACGTGCAAGGCTAATGCCCACCCCACTGTGCTATCGCTCCGGCCCCCCAAACACGCCTTGGAGAAGGGAGAGTGACCTTGCCTGGAAGCTCCTCCTGTTGGCTCTGCCGGCCGTGTCCAGGTGCATGGCCCCCGGATGCCTGGGCAGGAACCCCGTCAGATCTCACCCTGGTGAGGGGTGCCGAGTGAGGGCATCGGGGACGCCTCACTCACTCCCTGGCTGGAAGGCGCCCTCACAACTGGGAGCCGAGACCCTCAGCAGGGGGGCCCGTGAGGCCGCCCCAGGTCGGGCTTTCTCATCCCCTCTAACCACCAGGCTGCATGGCCGCGGGAGAGGGTCCCAGAACAGGGGGTCCGAGCAGCCTTCCGGAGGCAGGAACCCAGGGGCGTCTTGATGCCGAGTCTGTCCTTGTGTCGTGTGAGCCCAGGCTCAGTCAGCCTGAGAGCAGCTGTATGGAAGGTTCCAAAGCCACCGGTGGGCGGGGAGGGGGCCTGTCCTGTGTATGTGGGCGAGCCCTATCCTTCTCCTGGTTTCTCTGTGAGCCCCACCCCCCCGCAAAGGCATGCATCCCTCTGTCCATCTCACTCGGGGGCGTCCTTTCTCCCAACCTTCCCTCCCTTCCATCTCTGCGTGCCAGCCGGAAGTCAGGGGACAGTGGCCAGGGGACACCCACAGTGGGCACCACGCCCCTCCAGTGCCCACCCAGCCCCCGCAGCTTGCCTGGGTTCCAGGAAAGGGGGGAGGGCCCGGCTCCCCGAGGAGGAACCTCCCCCAAGCCCAGCTCGGGGCCAGTGCAGGGGCTCTCCGTGCCTGCACCCCGACTTCCACCCACCCATGCGGGGAGCAGGGTCCCCCTCCCCCCCGCGGCCAGAACACTGCTTGTGGTTATTTTTGTTATCAATGATACTTCAGGGTGCGTTCGGGAGTCAGAGGCCAAAGGTGAGCGGTGGCGGGGCGCTCTTGGGGGGCCGGGTACAAGGGGGCTGAATTAGATGCTTCTCGTATTCACAGGCTTTGGGTCTGGAGGCGGCTGTGACCAGAGCAGTCCTGATGGGTGCACGCTCCATGTGGCTGCTCACTCTGAGTCAGGGACGGGGGATGGGAGGACTCAGCACAGCCCAGGGGCGAGCGGCGGTGTCCATCCTCTCCAGAGCCCCAGTCATGCCACATGCCACCCACCCATCGGGGTGTCCAGCACCGGAAATGCCCCACACAGCCCTGTCTGAGGCCGGTCCAGGTATTGTCCATGGGCCGGGCTCCCTGCTGCCCGGGGCCCCGGGACAGCTGACGTGGGCAGATGGAGTCTGAGTGCTGGAGGTGTCTCCCGTTAGAACATCCACAGCCAACAGCCCAAGGCCAACACCTGATACCCAACGGCCTCCGAAGCCCCCTCAAGGGCAGGGCGGGTCTTTGTGGGCTCTGAACCGTGCCTGCAGGTTCCTGAAACTTCACTGGCGACACTGCAGGGAAGCCCATGCAGGCCAGGGCCGCTGCCTTCTCTCGTTCTCACTGGGCACCTCTGTGTGTGTGTGTGTGTGTGTGTGTGTGTGTGTGTGTAAGCACAGAGGGGAGGGGGTGTGTATGTGTCTGTGTGTGCACATGTGTGTGTATAAGCAGAGGGGAAGTTGTGTGTGTGCGTGTCTGTGTGTGTATGCTTGTGCGTGTGTGTAAGCAGAGAGAAAGTGGTGTATGTGTGTGTGCATGTGTGTGTGCGTGCGTGGGCGTGTGCATGTTTCTGTGTGTAAGCACAGAGGGAAAGGGTTGTGTGTGTATGCATGCGTGTGTGTGCATGTGCGTGTGTGTGTTTGTTGGCAGTGCCCTCCCAGCCCCCGGCGTCCGTCCACTCTCCCACCGCCTGCCTCACACGATTTGGCCCCAGCCCGAGCACTGGGGGCTGAGACACAGGAAAGCACCATAAAATGCCAAGGTTCGGAGCAGGAGGGGAGGAGCCCAGCCCGGGGAGACAGCGGCCGCCTGCGCGCCCTGGCGTCCCTCGCTGCTCGGGGAGGCCGGCCCTGGGGACACGTCGCGCTCCTGGGGGCTTTTACCTCTCTGATACTGGTAATACCACCAGGCGATGTCTAGGAGAGAGTAAGAAGACGTTGAACCAGATCCATCCAGCAGGCAAACAGGAGCACACTCTCATTCTCTGTGGGGACCGCGTGCTGGGTGGGGGGTGTGGGTGGGGGTGACCGGGTCCTGTCCAGCGAGCGCCCAGTGCAGCCCAGCCGGGGGGGAGGCTCCCCCTTCCAGGTGAGAACAGGCCAGAGCCGGCAGTGCCCATGGCTCCCAGCAGTGGGCGCCCCGAGCAGGCCCGTAGCCATGCAGCCATGCAGCCAAGATGGGATGGCGTGGAAGAGGATGCACGGTGCCATGGCCCGGGATGAAGCGCCCCCATCCCCCCCCCCAACGGCAGACCCCTCCCAGGACCCGTGGCTAGAGCGGAAGTGCCCGTTCCTCCTTATCCCAGCCAGTGCTGGCGCAGCCCCTGCCCACCCAGTCCTCTTCCCCCACCCAGAAACGAGACTGGTCTCAGACAGGGCCAGGCAGCGGGGCAGGACACGGGAGAGGGCTCGGGGCTGTGCCAGCCGGCAGTGGGCAGGCCGGGTCTGCCCGAGGCCCACGTAGGAAGGCATGGACACGAGCCAGGTGTGGGGCGGGAGACGGGGCGTTGGTGGGCACTTGGGGCCTGAGTCCAGGGGAAGTCATTTTTTTCCCTCTCCCCTTTCTGATCCCTCCGGAGTGAAGATTCTTCTTGGAGGCGGGGAGGGCAGACCTGTCTGCTCCCCTAAGTTCTCCGTGGGAGGCCCCAGTTCTTAGAAGCGGGGCTGGGCAGCGAGTCATGAGCCGAGTCCAGCGTGGACTCCCATGAGCCTGACCTGATGATGAAGGCTTCCCCGACGCTCCGCACATTCCCTCCCTCCCCCCCCGTCCAGCCCCTCTCCCCAGCCCCACTGTCTCAGGGCAGAAAACTCCGCTCATGTTCCGCTTCCAGGGATGGACCTCGTCCTCCTGAAGCCCTCCAGCCCCTTTCAAGCGCTCGGGTCCACCCCTCTCTCAGTCCGGAGGGACCCCCATTCTGTCTCTGAGCAGCGCTGCTTCTGTCGGAGGGAGCCAGGCCTTTGGGACCCTTGCCAGCCTCTCCACACAAAGGTGTGTTGGAGCATGGCTTCATATCAGCATACTGCAGGGTGTGTGTGTGTGTGTGTGTGTATGGGGGGTCAGGGCCAAGCACACACCTACACGCACAAAGCCCGGCCCATCATCCCACTCTCTTGCCACGGGTCCGAGCAGCACACCAGCACCCTCGTGACCATATGGCCAGCCCAGCTGGGCCCAGCTTGGGTGAGTCCCTGGCCCCTGAGCACTGCTGGGAGGGCACCCCCTGGAACTGTCAGGGGCCAGGGAGATGGCTCAGTGGTCAGAGGAGTGCATCGGCAGGGGTATAGTTCTGTCCTGCACACCTTGGGCCCCCAACACCATCAGGGTCAGCCTGAGCACTGCTGAGAGGGGCCCCGGGGCTCCCCAGCCCTGACAGCCCCCAGCACATGTCACTAAGCCTGAGCACCAGGCTGATTGGCCGGTGACCCCAGAGTGCCCAACAGTAACTGTCAGATGAGTAATACAAGTAGCCAGTGTCACCAGCAGGCGATGTCCTGAGCTGATTGTGGGGCTGTGACAGGAACGGAGGGTGCCAGGGACACCAAGCCTCTCAGGCCGTCCTAGCAGACAGGAAGGAGGAGTCCCCAAAGCATGTTTCAGGGCCAGGAGAAGGCCGCGGCCCTGAGGGGCCCTCACCCTCGAGTCCCCACTGTCCATGCCCCTGCCCCTGTCCATGGCCGCACCTTACTCCCGCTCAGCTGGGGGGCTCAGCTGGGAGCGTCAGGTCACGGGCTATGTTGACCAAGGCAGAAACTCTAGGCGATGGTCTGGGGGCCAGGGCTGACTCCTGGCTCTGTGCTCGGGACCACTTCTGATCATTCCTCGTGGTGCTCAGGATTTACTCCTGGCTCTGTGCTTGAGATCACTCCTGGCAGTGCGCAGGGTTTACTCCTGGCTCTATGCTCAGGATCACTCCTGGCGATGATCAGGATTTACTTCTGGCTTCGTGCTAAGGGTCACTCTTGGCAGAACTGTAGGACTCTGTGGGATGTTGGGGGGATGCTGGGGATTGAACCTAGGCCCGCCACGCACAGGGCAAAGCCCTCCCACTGGCCCCAGTCACCTGTTTGTCTTTCTCCCGATTTTACTCATTTCATCCCTCCACAAAGTCGAGTAATGCTCCATTGTATGTGGAACTCACACTCTCTCAACCCCTCACCCACCAGCTGGGACTGGACTGTCCCCAGGCCGTCCTGGGAGCCTCAAACCCGCGCATCTGTGCTGTCGTGCTGCTGTGCCCTCTGTGGGGGTGCCCGCCAGTGGGTGCAGAATTGCTGGACCGCGGGCAGTCCTACTTTATTAATTTTTTTAAGGATACTTTTGCTCTTCTTTCCTTCCTTCACACATCTGGCACTGCTCAGGGCTCACTCCTGCAGGCTCTGTGCTCAGGGCTCACTGCTGGCAGTGCAGGGGGCAGGGAATGACCCTGGGTGGTGTCCAGGATTGAATTGGGGCCGGCCATGAGTCAAGCCCGTGCCTGGCTGCACCCGCAATGCATGCTATGGTCCAGCCTCTGGATGCTGTTTGTCCATGAATCATTGTCCCTGTCCCTCCGTGCCTGGACCCCCATCCCCAACACAGTGACCGATTCCTGTTCTCTCCCCGGGGTCCTGGCCCCTCTGTCCAGAGTGAGGCAAAGTCCCAGTGCAGTTCTGACTCACTCTTTCCCACTGAGCAGCGTGAGGACGCGGTGTGACCCTCCCACAGACAGGGAGGGCCAGGTCTCTCCGCTCTGCCCTTCTCTGCTTCCGTGTCGGCCACGTCATGGCAAAGAGGAGCCCCCATTTGCCCTGCTGGTGCTCTCTCTCCGGGACAGGCTCCTGCCCTGCCACCCGCAGACCGTGGGGGTCACGGGACGGTGTTCCCACAGTACCCAGGGCCCCAGGGCGCCGCCCCTCAAGCCCTTGGCTGCTGAAAAAGCAATTTCCCACCGTGGCCGCGTGGCTGGTTCTGAATATTTCATCGGGGGCCTCCCGCATGGAGCGAGGCCGGGCTCGTTATTAAGGCCCCGCTCCCCGGCGCCGTCACTCGCCCGTGGGATTATTCATTCATTTCCAGCCGCAGTTTAATATTGCAGCAGCTAATGGGGAGATGTTGATAATTTGTAAAACGGGTCAGTTCTGAGTCTGCTAGAGGCGCTCGGGGCTGGGCCTAACGTGGGGGCGGCTCTGGGCTCCCGGGGTGGGGGTAGGGGGGGATGGGGCTGGCCTGATCCCCCTACTCATTAGAAGGCATGAGCCCGGGGCACTCCCGAGAGGGGGACGCTGAGAGAGGTGTCCCCCCGCTTGGAATGGGGCACGCCTGCGTGTGGACCCAAAGCCAAGAGAAGCAAAATGGAGCTTAGGTTGTGTTGTGTCAGGTGTTGGTAGGAGTGCCGTGGACCCCCGGTAGAGCCCCCCCGCACCGCAGAGGGTTCCCTGAGTCCTGCCAGGGTGACCCCTGAGAGAGCACTGAGTCGGGAGTAAGTGCTGAGCACTGCGAGGTGTCGCCCAAAACCCACCCTCTCCTCGCAAAAATAGGGTACACGTCGACAGGCGTAAGGCTGCACACGGGTTGCTAGGGGTCAACCCGAGTGGGCACAGGCGTGGGGGCGTGAGCAGCTAGCAGGCTCTGCGGGGGGCTGGCAGCCGGGGGTTGTCCTGGGGGGCCCCTTCCACCCCATCCCGGGACCCCCAGAAGTGGTACACTCTCCAGGGTCCTGGCCCCCAGGACAGAGCCTGCCCTCTGTGCAAGAAGTAAAGCCAAGCTTTACTGTGGACACACACACACACACACACACACACACACACACACACACACTACTCACCAGCAGGAAGTGGGCATCTAGTGGCCCCAGAGAGCCGCAGACACAGCCGTGGACAGGTGTGTAATGGGATGGAGGTGGGAGGGGGGGCTGGGTTTACTTTTGCTTTGGTGCCCCTGATGGGGAATGGTTGGGGGGTACAGTGGGGGCAGCCCCCCACGTCCCTCTCCTGGAGACAGGACCCTATCCTCGGAGGGGCCTCGACAGCCTTGCCTCAGGGGTGCAGCCTGGCCCCTTTTAAGCCAACCAACCAACCAACCAAACCCACATTTAGCCCACAATGTCTCCTCACAGGACGATAAAAATGAGCCCTTCGTGGGCTCGTTGGGAAACATATCTCCGACTTATTAAAAATATATGAATTTTTTTTAACCTTAAGACAGGAGGTCCGTATTACTCAAAATTGTAAGCCAGGACGTATTATCTATTATTAATTTATTTTTAATAGACATCTTTCTTATGGATGAGCATTCTAATTACTTCAGAAAAAAGTGGGTTTGCAGCAAGGCACGGCTTCCAATTAAAACTGTCCTGAAGATAAATTGAGGTCTCCCGCCTGCCAGCGCCCTGGCTGCTCCCCCCTCTTGAGTCTCTGTACGTGTCACCCTACGGGGCCCGTGCGGGACTCCCCTGGGTGCCCGAGGGACTCCCCAGGAAGGAAAGGGGGTGCTTCCAACAGAGCTTCCTGCCTGCGCCCTCAGCAAGCACCTGCCTCTGTCTGTCCACCCCCTTCCTGTCCTTCCCAGGGCCCCTAACTTTCGACCTACTGGTGTTCGCCTGACCCCACCCTAGGAAACATGAAGCATGTGCAGTGGAACTCCCACACGGCATGCCCTGTCTATGTGGCACCCATGTGACGTGGCACCTATGCTGTGTAGCTCTCACGTGACATGACGCCCAGCCTGCACTAGACCTATGCGGTGTGGCAGCCACTGGGTGACGTGGCACCCAGTCTGTGTGGCACTTGCGCTGTGTGGCACCCACGTGATGTGGCACCTATGCCATGTGGCATCCGCACGGTGGTGTGGTGTCCATGCTATGTGGGAGTTGGGGGGGGGGGTCTCTCAAACATGCCGTCCTGGAAACCTGCCATCGCAGAAACCCACCGGCCTCACT